CTTCCTGGGACAGCCCGGCTGCTCTTGCAGCAGCTCGAAGACTGCCTGGCCAGAAGGCTGCTAACGGTGGGAGCATTGGGACGGTGGAAAGCTCTGACGATGGCTGGTTCCCGGGACTGCTGAGTCTGGAAGGATTGCGACTGGGCGGCGATTCTGCGGAACTCGGATTTTCGGATTTCCGCATACTCGCCACGGCCATGGTTCTTCCTTGGCTCTATGTGATGGACTACAGTTGGCTGGCACAGCGCTGGCTGCGCGGCTGGCAAGCTGTGCTCATGAAGCCTACGTTTATGCCGAAGCCGGTGAGCAAGCTGACACGTAGTGATACTGGCGATGCAGCCATGTCACCCTTTTACTTTTGGCTGCTTGAGAGATCACTGGGAAAGCTGGGATGCCCTGGATGCTTGCTTCTTTGGGGATAGCTTGACTGCTCCCTGCAACCCTTCAGCGATACCTGGCCGGTTGCTACCGGCGAGAACACTGGGAGAATGGGAAGTATCGAGCTTACGGGTGGATGGCCTGCTGCTAGGACTGCTGGGTTTGGAAGGAAGGCAGTATACTTTTTGGAGTGAGTGGGTGTGAGATGTGAGTTGTGGGAGCGAGTGTTGAAGCTTCTTGGGTGGATTAGGGGTGTGCTATATCGGATTGTCCTTCTGTTCCTGCGCTTCTGTGTGGGAGCGGGTTCGAGGCCAATGTGCTTTGAAGTGAACTCTTAGTGCTTGAGCCAATGAGCTTCGGCTGATGACCGAGTTGTGTACTGAAGCCTCGCCTGCTTTGTCGAGTGTGAGTGCTAAAAATATTATGTAATAAAAGGCTGAACAATTATGTATGCGTATTAAAATATGCACACACACACACACGCACACAGGCGAGTTATTCGTAACTGCACCGTTGTTGGAGTCATTACCCAAAAGTTTGCGAGAATGACATGCATGGAATACCAAAAACACTCAAACGACGCATACAAATGGAAGCAGTTGCGAAGTCTCAAACAGGTGCCCTCGCTGAGCTACAGCCCGAGGCCAGGTCTCCTTGTGGTGAGAGGATACGCAGGGAACCAGGGTTTGGATGCAAAGGGCCAGGGTGTAGTGTTTAAGTTTTGGCTCGAGGTGTATCCCGATTTGATTGCAGAGCGGGTTTGTGCCGAAGTGGCCGAGGAAGCACAGACTGCATGCCTGCAGCTGAGCCCACTGAGAAACAACATGAGAATGGCTTCAAGAATAGAGGTGATGAAACCCGTGGTTCCAACATTCCACCATGTTCTTCGTATGCAGCGTGAGCCAGCAAGCAAACCTTTAGGAAGCACGCTCCCCGTGCGAGGATGCAAAGGCGGCCTGTGGAATGTCTTGGATTCATGAAGCCTTGCATCGTTGGCTCTCGTTTCCACAGCACGTACTCCATAGTTTTCTTGCGTGATGTAGTTCCTGATGTGTGGCACGAGCGCTTGAAGCGACTGGCGTGAGTTCCACGCCTTTCGAGGGTTCGTCTCTACGCGTGCGCACGTTCTGGGCAGAGGGAGCTCCCGGGAGGAGGAAGCCCACTGCAGAAGCTTGCATCGATGGAAATTTCAATGCATGCTCGTTCAAGGCACATGCTGCGCTGCTGCGTGAAGAACGTCGCTCGCTTGTGCAGCACTCGCGTGAGCACGAAAATGGTGTGGACAAGCCAGCAAGCACTCAAACATTGAGCAAGCATTCTCCCCGAGGAAGTCTTGAATCAATCACTTCTTTCTTCAAACATACTCCGCATTTTGGAGATGCCGTGTCTTCACGCGGTTCGGTATGGGGTACCCGGGTACACATCTCTGGCTAGGAAGAATGGAAATCACGAAAGCATTTTCTGTCTCGCTCCTATAAGTGGATCGATTTCTGCAGTTTGAGCTTACCGGTTAGTGTCCCTGTGGAGCGCATATCCGCAGGAGGGTCTCGTTTAGGCTCATTCTGGGGCTCTGTGCCATCGAATTCTCAGCATACTTGCGCTAAGTTTGGACTTGTGTTGCGACTCTGCCAAACCACTCAGCCGTTAGGCCGCGAATACTGGTACAACCGGGACAAATAACAGACCAGAACAGACCGGGCAAAGAGGACACCGGCCGGGACACCGCAACATGAAAAAAGGGACGCCTGAAGTTGGAGAGTGCAACGCCTCTCGTCGAGGCCTTCTGTCACAGTGAAGAGCTTCGCCATGGCCTCGGCAGATTGGGAAACAGCATCTCCTACGGTCATTCTGCTCTTCCGGAGTCCCTAGCAAAGTTACGCATGTGCAGCAGTCCCACATCCTGAGGACAGGCGCTGGACCACCTGGCACGAGCCCAACGGGTCCTTTGCACGATTACCTCAGACGTCAGGAGCCTAGACTGGAGGCCAGCAGGAGGAGCTAAGAGGGTCGGCAGTAATTGACGCATCCCGGGGCCGCGCGAGTGCCTCGCCCAGGTAGTTGTGGATGGTCTAGAACGTCTACACGCGGTTAAGCGGACGCTGCAGGAAGACCTTGAGGTGGGCATGACGACTCCTTGCAGAACTTGCGATGCCTGTATGCCTTGCCTGTCGATGAAGATGGCAACCTCCGTCACAGTCAACGACCGGTTGCAGGCAGACTGCACAGTATTGGCATTCCATAGCAGGAAGATTTCATGATGCACCGCCTTGTTGTCGAACACTTCTTAGCTAGTTTGTCACTAGTGGCATTCGTGCATATGGCAGGTCCTTCTGAAGTTGCACGCCCAGGTTCCTAGCCTTCGTGCAGACTGTGGTTGTGTTCCGGATTCTGTACGGAGGCACTCGAAGAGTGCAGGTGCGCAGACGAGAAGTGCCGGGCCCTCGGTTTCCCGAGAGTGGCGAGTGTCGAATCCGACCGACAAGTGTCGAACAGCCTCCGAGGCGAGGCCGAGCAACCGGAAATCTTGATGTTGCGGAGAAGCATCGCCGAAACCAGCCGTCGAATGCCCAGGAAACCCAGCTGCACTCGTGACTCAACTTCTAGAACTGCCCAGGGGATTGGGGCGGATTCGGGGCGGCAAACCAAACCTGCTTGTGTGCAACCGTTGGAACATGCTGCTATGCACGCACAATTAGTTGTTTTTTGACCTTTTGCTCAGCACATTGATTGGACTTTGGTCGATAAATCGTGTCTGAACCCTTCTAGACAAAGTGATCTTGCAACGATGAGGCCGATCCGTGCGTGGCAGTTGTCGTTGCTCACGTGGCGCAGTAGGAAGCTCTTCACGCCTTGGTGTTCCAGTCGACGAAGGATCCGAGAAAATCCTGACGTTGGCGAGACATCTCTGCAGGATGTCCTGGGACTGTAGCCCGCGTTCACCTGCACCCAGCTGTCTGCCGGTTTTGGTACATCTCGTAGGAAGCGCCACAGCATTCTGCAGTGCCGAGGCCCAGCAGCTTCGCACCTCGCACACTTTTGAGCCTTTCGATGTGTGCAAAACCTGACTCCGCGAGGTCTGGCCGTCTGGCAGCTCTGCAACAGGCATCAAAATTCTGCAAAATGTAACAATCTTTGCCCTGATTGTTTGAACATGCCACAGGCCTTGGCACTCCGATCAAGGCAGGCGCAGATCGCTAAAGGATCTCTCCTTTCAGAGGCAAGGGAGGGACACTTCGCATGCAAAAAGCGTACAGCGTGCGTGGGGTTTCTCTTTGCCGATTTCTGGAAGGACAAGCTCCTCTCTGCAGAGCTGAATGTGGCAAAGAATGCGTTGAAGGAGGCAAATCCGCAGCTTTGCTCCAACATATTTCAGCTGCGGGAGCCTTCCAGGCGGTCATGGAGGGTCAGCGTCTCGAAGAAATGAAGGACGAGGCAGAAGCAGAGGTGTTTCGTGCTTGCCGGGCGCCGCGGCCTCGGAGCTAGCGCTCTGCGACTCTGTGCGACTCTGTGCTCGCACATTGCTCTGCAGAGTTGAGCAGGCAGGGGCCATGTCGTTTCCGGAACATGTGTTAGAGTTCCATTGGTTCCATGTGCATGGGTTCACTGTGCAACGCACCTTTCGCTTCTGTCTTGTTCCCCTTGGAGCAAGGCTCGCCAGTGTGGAAGACAAAGGCGAAGGTGATGGTGAGTCAGTGAAGAACATTCCGCGAAATGTGCGGGGGTCCCAAATGCGGTAGATGTTGAAGACATCTCGTAGCGCCTACATCTAAACATATTCTACATGCATCCTTCCTACACACTCTGAAATCTCCGTGCATTGGCTGTGTGGCCGAGGTATCAGAAGGCCGGGAACTCTGCCTTCACCAAATTAGATGAAGTGCAGGCCGTCAGGCCGTCAGAGCCTGGCCTTTTGTGAGGCTCGAGAGGTCGAAGCCTTTGTGGCGAAGGGCCCTGCGGCGCCCTGGCGACTCAGTGCCTTGCACCAGCCATCTGGGCCCGGTGCCGAGCTCGTAAGCGCGGGCCCGGTGCAGTGCAGCAAGCTATGTGCTAGTGCCGCTCAGTGGCGAAGGACTGGTTCTATCGGAACCACGGCCGCGTTGCTGGACCCGGAGGCTTATCGGCTGAATCGGGAGAAGGCCACAGCTCAGGCTCGGGTCAGTGTATGCATCTACAAGCCGGACGAGGCAAGATATGTCGTAATTAAGCCCGCAGGCGGACAAAGATTTGGAGGCCATGATCGAGGCGTACGTTGCAGAAAAGGAACAGATACAGCGTGCCGTTCACGAAGAGGCAGGTGTAAGAGTGTGGAGTTCAGGGCAGGGTCCCCTGTGTGCCCAGTCTGAGGTTCAGCGGCAAAAGGACGAGGAAGCTCACTTCGCTGCGGAGCTCCAGAGCCTGCGTGAGCAAGGACCCCAGGCTTCGATAAGGGAGCACTTTCATGACTCTGGCAAGCGGGTCTCGACTACTGCTAAGCGTGCGGGCACGTTTACGAGCATCTTATCCAGGTACCAGTTGGAATCTTTTGAGGATTGTAGCTTCGGCGCAGATCGCACACAAAAGCTTGACTATTTGTTGTATAGGCTGTCATAGTTCTCAAACCTTCGAAGCACACGGCCTCTTCTATGTAGAAAGTAACGGGAAGGCCCAAGATCCACACCCTCTCTGTTCCACTCTCTGATGTGTATGCGCACACACACACACACATATATATATATATATACATACACACATACACACAATATGTAAGTTCATACTGGCGTAGACCTATCCCGTACATGTGTGTGTGTGTGTGTGTCTGCGCGTGTGTTTGTTTATGTGCAGTTGCTGCTTCGGGCGGATTTTTTTGGACCATTCAGTCGATGCTTGATTTTGAACTCGGGCACCCCCTCCTTCGCTTCTGGCGTAGACGTAGTCTAGGTAGCATGTAGTGCTTCTTTTCGCCTTCCGTAAACCGTGTTTGTTTAGAGAAGTTGATTCGCTGCGTTCACCGCATTCAGGTATGGTTGAGAGTGGAATCTGAGGCTATGCCTGGCTGGCCTCGCAAAAAACTCAGATAAACAGTGATGTCAGAAAGACTTCGGCCTGAGGGTGTAGAGGCTGTTCAACTGTTTTACAAAGCCGAGTCAAGACTGCTGAAGCTCGTCGCGCCCCCATTGCAACGTACTGTAAGAAGCCCACCATGCTAAGCTGCTCGAGTTACACTATTCCATGTCTGCGGCAAGATTCAGGTCGAAGATGTCATAGAACTCGCCGTGACGGTTCTTTCAACGTTCCATGTTCCACCCTGCAACAAATGTCTTACAGAAGTATTTTTCTGATGCAATCACTGTGTCATTTTCTTGCTGGAGGAATATTCCACGAGTGTAGTCCTCTTGCGGCATGAACACTTCCAGGCAGACAGTGTAGAGAACGGGTTATTCTCACATGTTTTCGTTGCTTGCAATCCGGGGGGTGGCGAGGTTTCAGCTACACTCAAGCCTAGGTTGTCGCGGGACAAGTGTTATTTTCAATCTTCTCTGGCTTGATAATTGACAACTGACCTTTACTCACGAAGGCCTGCATTCCAGAAAAAAATCCAGGCAAGCTCAAAGAAATGGCCATCAAAGGCACATCAAGGAGCGCCGTCACGGCATCGACACCGCCCTGGCTGCCCAGAGTTCCGAGAAAGATCAGCGGTTGCTTGAGGCGCATGGTTGCGGGAACATGGAGAAAGCTGGGCGCATGACGATGCAGATTGGGCAGGGCTTCATTGGCTGCGAAGTTAAACGGTCAACTCTGTCAATCCTCATTTGTTTGCAGATTGCCCGCTATGCTAGCAGACCAACAGGCCCAGCGGCAGCTCACCTTGGAGTTGCGGCAGATCGAGTCCCAGGAGCGCAGCAACCAGGAGCACCTGCAGCCGCTGCTGTCACTGAATCTCACGCTTTTCGGCCGCCTGTCTGGATGTCTTGTAGTTTTGCGATGATTTGCGATGCTCGGCCTGCGGCCTTGGCTCAGTGGCTCACACAATGACTAAGCGGCCCTTCGTTTGTTGCCAAGTTACATGGACAGACCAGGGTCCAAAGGGTCCAAGGGCTGCTCCTTTGCATGAAGTCTTTTGATGCCTTCGCGAGACCGGTACAAGAGTTCCAAGTGAAGACGGCAGTGGGAGGCTACATCTCCATCGGATCTATCTGCTTAGTAGCTGCGCTTTTTCTTTCTGAGCTGCGCTACTTCTTGACGCTGGAGACAAAGGATGAAATGCTAATTGACCAGAGCCAGGAGCGCAAGTACTTGAACATGTCCTTGGACGTTACCTTTTCTTCCTTGCCGTGCTCGGTGTTGGGTGTAAATCTTCTGGACCCAAAGCAGAACAACGTAATGCATGTCGCACATGAGATCTTCAAGGAGCGGTTGACATCAACAGGAGAAGTGATTGGCAAGCCCATCCGCGACGGTCTCCAAAACGTGGCCATGACGCCCGCAGACTTGGCGACGGTCTTCCGAGACCAGCAAGTCAAAGCGAATCACTCTTCCACACACTTCCGGTGTCCTTCTTGCTTTCAGAGCCTATTCGATGAGGATTCTTGCTGCAATTCCTGCAAGGAGGTTCGGGAGGCTTTTCTGAATCATGGATGGGATGACCGACCCGATGACTACGTATTTTATCAGTGCATAGATGAGGCATACCAGCGGACAGCTGCTCAGATAGGTGAAGGCTGCCGTCTGAAGGCACACCTGCACGTTCGGAAAGTCCCTGCCACGCTGCACATCGGCATAAGCCAACGCATAAGACGAGATTTGGTACGTGCGACCAGCGTGGCAGAGCTGACAGTTGGTGCCGATTTCACGCACCACATCCACAGTCTTTCCTTCGGCCCAGACTTTCCAGGCCTGGTTCGGGTGCTCGACGGCAGACAGAAGTCGAGCCATCAGCCACCTATGTCCGAGCACTATCAGTACGATGTCCATGTCATACCAACTCGATACCTCGAGGATGGGTCTGACGAGATTGCCGGGCACCAGTATAGTGTCACGGAGTATGTGAAAACTGTGGATGCGACACATCCTGGTCACGAAGTTGCGACAACAGGGATTTGGATGAGCTATGATTTCACCCCGTTTGAGGTTCGTGTTACCAGCAGCCGGAAGAGCTTGTTCCATTTCTTCACAGAGTGTTGTGCTATCCTTGGGGGCATTTTTGCACCCTGACCCAATATGATTTGCCCCATGCAGGTTGGTGCAGCAGCTTAGGTGACGCATTGAGTTGGTAGGCATGTATCTATTGTCCGTGTGTGCGGCACTTGGCTACCGAGGCATTCTCGGGAATGTTGGACGGTTTTGCCCATCAGATCCACAAGTCGCTCGAGAATGGATCGCGGCGGGGTGTGCTGGAATGAGTGAGCATCCAGCTGGAAACTTTGGAGCCACCAGTGCTTGAGCCATTTCTAGGTGTCAGGCCGCCCGATTTTGCACCCGATCTGGCATTATACAGCTTCTGAAAGAAACCTGTTCTGATTCTGCTGGGAGAAGGCAGCATCGAAACTTGCTGCTGCAGTAGGCACGTTCAGAGGAGAAATGGTTTCGCTTACCCGCTTTTTCCGTGCAATGGGGACGATCCGAAAGACCATATCTTGACCTTGTGCCGTCGTGGAAGATATACAAGAGCAATTGACTTGAGCAACAACCCAAGGAAGTAGAGTTGCCCGGTAGCCTTACAATTTCCATGGCGCGATTATGCTGATTGGCAGTTTAGATGGCAGCTTCTGGGAACCCAGACGAAAAACTTCTGAGAAAAGGACAGAGAGGGAAGGTAAGGGGCTCTCAAGACCGAAGAAGTGGCGGTGGCTGAGCAGAGCCAGGGAGACCTGGCGATCGAACGAAAGAGGGCAATGCAGGCGACGCAGTCGCTAGGAAAACCACCGAAACGAAAGGCAAAAGCTAGACAAGGAGACGGAGGTCCGAGCTGGATCATGCGGCCTGATGTCGTCGCTGTGAACTCGCGTGCTCGAATTGCCGGGACGATACTGTCGAGCATACAAGGTTTTCTCTCTCTCTCTCCTGCAGAAGCTGGTTTTGTCAGACTCTGCATACACGTTTGGCTGCTAGGGATGCGCGCCAAGCACTCGGCTAAACTTGCAATCCTGCGGTGAGGAGGCGTTGAGGCAGGAAGTACGCAAAGCTCGTCAGCGACTTGTCGCGTCCTCATTTGCTTCTCAGTTTCAGGAGACGGATGTCGCATTGGGCTGACTTAAGTTTTTCAAGGCCCAGGCGGCTGCGTGCGCAAAGCAGCAGCTCGATCTTCGGCTCGCGAAGGTGGGCTTTGTTTGATTTTTGATGCCTTCGCTGAGTGCATGGAAGGCACGTTTTTTCGCTTTGCAGGTCCGCACGGACTGCTGCGAGATGCTTCGCTCTACGGCGATGCAATGGGAGAGGGCTGTTGTGCGGGAGCGACAGGCATTGCAGGACACGAGAGAGAGGGAGAGAGTGTGGGCCGCGGGTGCGCGTCCGCGCGCGGGGGGGTAGGTGTCCGCCTGCCCTCTCTGTCCTGGTAGAGAGAGAGAGAGAGAGAGAGGGCCGCCGGTAGTTGGAGCATGGTTTTTCTTTCACCTCGGCACGCACTTTTCATTTCATTCAAACTTACCAACAGTGTGGTACCCAAGCCTGCCCCTACGGAGGCGTGCAGTGAGGGTCACGAAAAACCACAGTACAGCCAAGCCCCTCGACCAAAATGGTGGATGGGAAAGCGCCTGCAGCGCTGGTCGAGGGGTCTGCCCCCCGCCCCTTACCCCAAGCAAAGCAAACAGAGGGAGAGAGAGTGCTGCTGCATGGATAAATCGCCAACGCGAAGCTTCTTCCATCTTTCTTCTCCGATGTCAGGAGGCGAAAGAGCGCCGTGAACACTGGCAAAAGCGGTTGAAATCCTCCAAAGATGCCTTCCGAGGCCACTGCGTGAAGTGGAGCCCTCAGCACGATGGAATGTTGGAATGCGGCATTGCCTTTGCAGCAAGCGTCTGCAGTTGAGTCCAGGACCGGAGTGTATGCCTCCTTGCTGCACCTGGCATGCGTAGTGTTGGTGCTTTTTCAGTGACTCTGGTTGACACGATGCTGTCGTGCCACTGAAGGTATGTAAGCGAAAAGTTGATTTTTTGGCCACAGCTTCCTACGAACCCTAAACCCGGGTCGGGTCAGGGGTTGAAGTGAGGCTCGCACCCTGGATTCGACTCGACGCCGTATTCTGGACTCCCTGGTTCCCAGAGCCAAGGCTGCGGCGAAAATAGCGCTCTAATGGCCTGTAGTGCACTTTTGGGCCCAGCAGGTCGGTGACGTGTACTCTTGGGATCCGAAGTCCTGACGAAGGCGAGGCAGGTGGGCGTTTCACATCCGTTTCACTTCCGCGCAAGCAAAACGCGGGCATGCGTGAATGCAAAAGCTCCAAGCCAGGCAAGCTTTGGCAAGTCGGGTCTGTGCGACTGAGGCTCGGAGGAAGCTGAAAGCGCCGGTGTCAAGGTACGAGCCGGGCCCCCTTTTCGTGGGAGTTCCTTCATACGGGTCGGGCTACATAGGGTGACCGGGTGGCGTGCATGCCGTAAGCCCGAAACAAATGCAACATGCCGTGACGGAACCGAGGCTTCGTGTCTTCTGGCGGCGACTTGACGAAGATAACAGCGGGCAAGCATCTGTCGAGGAGTTTGGGCAGCTGCCTTGGTGCATTTGGTCCCGCGCACCAGAGTGCCAGACTGCCTCTCTGCAGCCTCTAGACAGGCGGCTCATGTACAAGATCGAACTTAGCCAGTGGCTGGCCTCTCTGAGCTGTTGCAGTGCGGTGTTATGACACTCCACGCATGTCTTTCCTGAAACGAGGCCGGATCTGACCGATGATGAAATTTGGCGAGTGGCCCTTTACCCGAGCATCTGTTGCTCCCTTTGATGGCTCAGCACATCGCTGGCCCAGGTTGGCGTGCTGAACCAGGCAGCTCACAAGTGGCACCGTGCGGGTGGCAATTGGTGCTCCCGGTCAAGCCTTGTTCTAATCGGTCGTGAAATGCGCAAGCTGTTAAGGTTCAAGATCTTCAACCAGATCGATGCAGATGGAAGTGGCAATCTTTCTTTCGATGAACTAGTGCAGTGTGTCGAAACCTTGGCAGAGTTGCCATGCGTCACCAAGACTCAATGCAAGCTCAACAATTTGACAATGCCAAGAGGTCCGTGGAACCTACCCCTGCCTGAGAGTACCGACCCGTGATGTGAAAGAGCGCGAGCTGCTTGAGTCTCAGAGCACGGTTAAAATGTGTACAACGGCCCTACGTCCATTCTCGCTGGCTTGTGCTAAGGCAGGGACTTTGGAAGGCACACGAAGCAAAAAACGCTTGGCCGGAGGGGGAGAAAGTGCTGTGCAGGCCTTGGACGACACGGGCAGCATCGAGGTCCCTGTGCACCGGTTCATGGCACGGGCCTTCGCTCCAGTCTTCGTCGATATGTCGAGTCGACATCTCGAAGATGGAGCTTTGGCAACAGGTGTTCATGCGAAGATGGAGCGTCTTGAGCTGAGACAAGCTGAGCATGTTCTGTCGCTGTCGAGGGCTTCATGTCCTGCCTTGATTGATCCCTGCCTGGCAGGCCGATGCAAGCTTTAAAGAACAAAAGCCAAGAACCCCGGCCAAGTCGTCGCCGGGCCCTTTGCTCGACAAACCATTCTTGAACCGCGCTGCTTAGCCAAACCTGAGGTTGCCGCCCGTGTCCGAGCGGTCTGGCGCGGAGGTGCGCGGGGTGGCTCAGGCCCTGGAGCCCGGAGCTCAGTGGGAAACCGCTGGAGCCAGGTGCGCTAGGTCCGCTAGGTCCGCTAGGTAGGTTCCGACTCACCGAGCCTATAGCCACCAGAGCTGCCTGCGGAAAAGATATTCCCTTCTCGAGGCCGTTCGTTTCCAAGTCCGTGGAGTACAAGGGTAGCTGTGGTTGATCATGCCCATTATGGCCAGGAGAGCTTTGTCATCGTACTACATCGACAAGGGCTACCTCAGTGTCGCCAGTGCGTGCCACGAGCCCAGTGCGTCTGCAACCGGCTCGGAGCATAGGCTCAGCTGTCAAGGTGAGGCAGCAGCCTGGCAAGGTGGTGCCAAAGTCAATGCTCCAGCCCTGGATTTCAATCGGATGGCTCGGATGGCCTGATATGTCACTGGAGTGAGCGACTCGTATCCGTGAGAGAGAGGGCGTGGCGCGAGAGCAAAGTGATCAGGCTCGCACCTGCTCGCACGCGAAGGAAGAAGGGAGCGAGGGATGGAGGGAAGCTTTCGGGGCATATCATAGCTGAACTAACTGAACCATGTAGCCATGGAGGCGGGCCAAGAAGGCCTCCGCAAAGAGGGAAAGCATGGCCCTACCTTACACCTGCGAAAATAAGAAGAGCAGCAGAGAGCGAGAGAGAGAGAGAGATCTTGATTCCTTCTGAGCCTCTCACCCTGACGGGCCGCCGGAGTCATCCAGGTCTCTCTCCACCTGTGGGTCGCGGTTTTTTTGATCCATGTTCATGGTGGGGTTTCTAAACAACATTCGCCCCACCATAGTTGTCGGGAACAGCAGCTTTAAGAGAGGCAGACCAACAAGCCCCGGAAAGGGGTGCCATTTTGGCGCCAAGGACACGGAGATGGAACTGTGCGAACTCTGCCCTCTGTTCCTCGCCAAACTAACTCGGGCCCCGGGCAGTGCAAGAACCTTTACCTGCGGGCTCTTGCAAAGAACAAGTAACAAGAGGGTTTGCACGATTCGTTCGTAGCATCGCGCCCTCCTCGTTCAAATCATGGCAGGGGAGCGGTTCCTCAAGGCCATCCCCACGCTGCACAATCCTAGCTTCTTTTCAAGCCGGGTCGCTGTGCCATCGAAAGACCTACTTGTAGCCGATCCTGGGGACCCAGGTGGGGAGAAACCGCTAGTCGGAGGACCCATGTGCTAAGGTGTGCTTGCCGCAGGCACGGTCAGTACCCTAAAGGCGGTGCTGTAAGGCTCGAGGTCAGTTTTCCAGTTTCAAAACCTCGTCGTGCAAAAACAACTGGCTTTCGGGATGCAGCGAACACCCGCATGTTCATGTGGTTTCGCGAAGCATGCGAAGCAGACGGCAAGTGATACTGGAGTGATGCAAAGGACACCGCTTGCAGCTGGACACGCTTTTTCATGGAGCTTGTGGCTGAGCCACGGCATCCCTAGAGGCCCTAGAGTTTCTTCAAATGCGGCACGGCTAAGGATGGACAAAGACGGAAGCGGCCGCCTGGCTCGATGCTCGGAACGGCTCAGCCTTCCTATGGGCTGCTCCAGCTGCTTTCGGGGCTAAACAGAGTGCATGTCTGCGCGATCTCCTTGGTGCAAGCTGAAATAGTTCATGCAATGCTAGCCTCACTCGCATGGCCTCGCGGCCATGCTTTTTGACCTCTGCCCAGCATGTTGCACTTACTCGGATGACCTGGGAAACACGACAGTCAAGCGAGTGGTGACTGAGAGTACACTGTCCGCCCAGCTGGACGGCCCTGCCCGCCTTGGCCCTGGCGAGGATGAATACAGGGACCTGCAAGTGGTGTGTCCTGCGCCGCTTGATTCACGTGCTCTCAGCCCTGAGGCCGCAGCCCCATCTAACGAGGCGAAAGCGGCATTGCCACGTTTCCAGTTTGATCAGGCAGAGATTCCGGGATTGTTCAATGTGAGCTTCGAATTTCGAGAAGGGCAGCTCCTTGGCTTGGAGTTTGACATGGTTGACTCGGACGTGTGTATCGTGAGTGTTGTGCGCGCCTCGGGGCTGGCCGAAGCCCACAACAACAAGGAAGGCCTTCTGGCTGATCAACAAATTCGGCCTTTCGACCAGGTCATTGCCGTGAACGGCACGTTGGTCTTAAAGTCACAAGACTTGCCGAAGCAGCTCCAAATGGCACAGTCCGGCACAGATTCAGTGACGCTCTCTTTCAAGCACCCCGAGAAGTCTGAATTTACGATCGATCGACAGGGATCGCTGCTAGGCATCGGACTCGCTGCAAGCAGGGCCACCCCTTCGATTCTGGTAAAGAAAATAGAAGCTGATGGAGCAATGAGCCGGATGAACAAGGCGGATGGTCGGACATACCTCATGCCGCATGACAGGATCATTGAGGTCAATGGTAAGAACTCCACTTCCGATCGTTCAGCAATGGCACGTTCATTGGCTGAGAATGTGGTGAAGATCACAATTTGCCGGTACTACCTCGCGCAGACGACAAGCTCCAGCACGTGACGGCTAGATTGAAACCATATTGCGAAATACTGCATGGAATCGCCTGCAAACGGCTCGTTTCACCAGGAGGATTCATCTCAGGCAGAACCGACATCGATCGAGTTCCCGCGGGTTCTGGAAGGAATCACTCTCCGTCGGCGTGCCGGCCAAAGACAGCCGCCTGCAATATCCGAGTCACTCTTGAAAAAAGTTGAGATTGACGATGTTCTGCGCATGCTTGTGGCGCTGGCCCAGAAACCCTTCCCCCTGATCTCAGTCTTACAGCGAGTTCGTGCGTGCGGTGTTCTCAAAGCTCAAGACCTGGATGGATCCCAAGGTGCCAGCCACCAGAGATGCAGTTTAAGCCCATCAGCTTTTTCGCGAAAACCCATGAAGGCATGCCGTGACTGCCAGGTCTCCCTCCCGGTTGGAGGAACTGGGCGCAATGTGCAATGTACCCAGAATCGAAGAGAGCCTGAAGGTAGAATTGCTGCGCACGCTGAGGTATGCGCAGTCAGTGTTTGCTCGAAAGGACTCCAGAGACTAGCCTCCTAGCCCCAGCAAGCATCGATGACAGTACTCAGTGCGCAAAAGGCTTGTTCAACACTCTTGCTCGCCTTCGTGACATGATGAAACTCTGTGCCGGGAATATTTGTAGCATCGTTGTGCTGGAGTTGTCTGACACCGAGCATTCGAGCCATGGGAATGAAGAGTTGAAGCCAGCGCCGGCCATGCAGGTATCCTGTTATCCTTCTGGGATTCAAAAGCATGTACTGTTCTTGCTGGGACGCTTTTGCCGAGAATGCCTAAGCATGCAATGCGGCCACTAGGCAGTACAGCGGGGTTCTTGGCTTAGCCCCTGACCAAACACCGAAAAAGATTGCAGGTAAGTCCGGGTGATCAGCCTGGATATCCTCCCAACTCAAAGGTAGCTTCGTTGGCAGTGGACTCTTGAGTGTGCCACTGCCCCCTGCTGTAATGCAGAACATTCAGGAATGTTTGCCAGTCCTATCCCGTAGTAACAGGGTTGCGCACAAACACACACACACACACAACCACATTGGCTTGCTAAGAGTGCGACTGGCAACAGATAGGACATTGACAGGACATTACGACGACGATCT